AATTTATAAAAAGAAACGTCCATTTACGAGGTTATCGCGAGAAAACAATTTACAAATTATTAAAAACATAAAAATCCAAGACAAGTTTACCAAATGTTTACTGATTTCTTTACTCATCGATTCTATGATTCCAAAATGCCAAAACTTGAAAATTTACATCATCCATCACAAAGTTACAAGATTTCTTGAAATCATTATTAACACCAAATCATCCAATAATGTTGAAAGTTGTAAATAATATTACTGGAAAGATGGACGGTTCGATGAATTACCTTTCAGCTCATGACAGAGTCGATTATATAGAAGCCATAATAGAAATATCAATGTACTACTTGTTAGTAAAATTAATAAGGTTTTAAACATTTATCAAAAAAATCAAAAATTATCAAAAGATATTAACGATGATGAAAACAATAATTCACGTAAGAAAAATATGAATGTAAATTTGTTTATAGTATAGATGCATAAAGAACAAATGAATCATTTTGTTTATAATTTTATAATAGAATAAATGCAGTTCAAAATAATAATAAAAAATATCTACTTGTATATTCGCATACATTTTTTAGAAGGGCATTTGCTGTATGGGAAGAATTGGAAATTAAAAGACTTTTAGGTGAAGAGGATTCAGAAATATTTTGTTGACATTTGGTGTAAAACCAAATGGTAATGTTGACCCAGCAAAAGATATTCAAGGTGAATTAAAAAATAAGTTAACAGTTTATCTATTTATTTGTTAATTTAACTGTCATTTCTTATCGGATTTTAATAGTGTGGTTGCAACGGCTTTAAAGATTTATAATTTATCTGTTAGTACATTTGAACAACACTATTAAATCATTAATAATGATTCATTCTTTTATTTTATTAAAAAAATAATCTACATATTCTAAAATAAATAGAGGGAATAATAATTTAAATAAATTAAATTTTTAATAAAATAATAAATTCTAATTATAAAAGTTAAGATTAGTTCAAAATTATCATAACACTACCTCCCAATCTAAAAAATCAATTAATTAAAAGTTAAATAAATTGATTTTTTTCAAATTAATAATAATCAATATCATTATAATTATAAATACCTTGAGGAAGTACTTGAATGCTTGGCAGTAATCAACAAATCTTTTTTACCATCCCCATTAAAATCATATTTTATTATTTTACTTCCAAATCTTGTTTGTTGTTGTCGTCCATTTATGCATTCCTTAGGAATGACTTCAATACTCTCACTATGTAATAATGATGATGATGGTGGTGGCGATGATGATACATTATTATCATTGTAAAATAATGATGTACTTATAGCATATTTATAAACTCTTCCTGATTCTATAATTTGATCAGAAAAAAATTGTACATTAATTTTTTTATTTTCCAAATATTAAACAAACTCGAATATTTATAATTACCCAAAAATGTAAATGGTTCCGAAACAAATAACAATCTATCAATTTCATCCCAATATACCGAACTACCAAAATGTGATGAACTTTCTGACCCATATTTGATCAATAATAACCCATTTCCAATTTTCATTACTTCATCAGATAGTAAAGCTCCTTGTTTAATATAATCCAAATCTAATAATCTCACTGCACCTGCTTGCCATATCTTGTAACCAGGAAACAGTCCATTATACGACTATTGTATATTGTAAATATATTTTGATTAATTTGCTATCAACCTAAATAAATATTAATAAAACATCATTCAATGATCATTTAATGGTACCTCTGATTTTGAAGTAGTAAGGATGTAATTCTTTCCATTATTTAAGAAATTGCCTGAAATTATTAAACTATAAAAAAAAATCATTATTGTTATTCTTCTCCTCATATTTATTTTTTAGTATATATATATATAAATATATGTTTGGACTAATTACCTTCCAAATGCCTGGAATTCACTAGTCCCACTCAAATCAAATTTATCAAAAGATTTAATAATTTTGTTGGTAGTACTAATTATTTCAAATCCATATATTTTACCAACCGTTTGTTTCTTATTACCATACCCTGGTGCTCCAACTACAATTATGGAGTTACTATTATTATTAGGTGATTTAACTACTTCTATAGCTGATCCAAACCATTCATAAGCTTGCTTTGCTGGGCCAAGCTTTTGCCAATCATTATCATGTCTTGAAATGTTCCCTTGATGATTACTTGAACTTAAGAATGCAAAAATCGCTCCTATATGTGAATGTGTATACTAATATGAAGTAAACATAAACATTAATAATGTAAATAATGCAAACAAATGTATAAATTTAAATACAAACGTAAAAACATAAACATAAACATAAAATGTTACAAGTACCAAATATGTTATATTATACATTCCACAGTGAGGACACCCAATTATTAAATCTTTATAACCATCATTATCAATATCACCAGACGCTAAAACGTAACCAAATCCTTCAATTTGTAAATTATCTTTAACAGTATTTGATGAGGTACGAATTTGAATGTCTGGAACATCTGATAGCTTCTTGGCATCTTTACTCCCGAAATATATATAAACTTTGCCAGTATATGCTAAATCTTTAGCACCAAAAGATGGTGCACCAACGGCCAAATCATCTATCCCATCTGAATTCATATCTACGACAGCCAATGACCACCCAAAACGTGACTCTGATATTAAATCATGCCCTTGTATAATTTGATCAGCTGTGTCAATAATATCATATGATAAAGTTTTTGGTGGTGATGATTGTTGATTGTTTTTTTTGCCGTAAAATATGAAAATTGCTCCCAAATGAATAGCAATTGGATCATTACTATAATAAGGTGCACTAATCACTATATATAACATAAAATATTTTATTATTATTATATATATTAATTAATATTTACTTATAACAAAAAATATATGCGTGTTACCTAAATCTTCAATACCATCACCATTAAAATCTCCAACTATCATATCATGACCAAAAGATGCATATGGATATAAAGAGTCCAATGTGATGATTTTCTCTGAATCATTTGGTAATGCTTTGCAAAGCAATTCTATATCAGGATTCTCCTTATTATTGGTGTTACTGCTACTACAAATATTACTGATAGGTGGTGATGGCATTTTTGATGATAATTGAGGAGTGTTTATTGTGGGCTTGAAATTAAAATTTATTTGATTATTATTTGCAGCATTTTGATTTATTATTTTAATCGTTGAATCTTCTCTTTCAATTGTATTTAAATGTTCTTTTTCTTGATGATGAAGAAGGTTATGATTATATCGAGTTTCCAAATGCCCTATACCATTCTCATCTTTATAAAATTCAATTTCAAAACCATTAGCCTCAAGAATTTTTATTGCTTGAACATAAGTTAAACCATTATGCTTATTTCGCCAATTCTTCTTATTGTTATATCTTGGTTCTGTAAAAAAAGATTTTTTGAATGCATCACACAATGATGAATAATTTCCTGGACCATCTTCGAACCAATTTGATAAACCATTCCAACAATCATGAACATTAGCTGCCATATTATTAATCCCTGATTTTACCAATGACAATAATAAAGTGTAAGTATAGTTTCACAAGTAATTAATATAATATTTCTAATTAGAAACAAGCCATTTTACCTCCACGATGATAATTTTCCAATTGTTCGATCAGAAATGGTGACTATACAATAACTAGATTTTGTAAATCTTCAAAATGATTATTACAAAAAAAGAAAAAGAAAAAGAGAAGAAATTTCTATTATTATTATTATTATAATAATAATAATTTTAGATTATCTCACCTTCTCACCATAAGTTTGGAAAAAAAATTTTCCAAAACGCTATATAATGAAAAAAAAATTAGTCAAATAAATATTACTTGTGTAAGTATAAATAAAAAAACAAATTATTCCCAAAAATTATTACTTTGTTGAATTCAGAAAGAGCATATGAACGTTTTATACAAAACTGAATTTGTGGCTCTGTCACAGTTTTACCCATTTTCTCGTAGATTGCAATTAAATCTTTGAAAGGAATCTCCCATTTCTAAAAAAAAAAATATATATAATCAAAATTTAAATTTTAACATTAATATATAATAAATATCTCAATAGATTTATTTTTTTTTAGATCCTTACACCTAAATAATCAATTTCTGACATATGTGAAAGTGTAAATTCACCACCATTATCAGCAGCTTCATGTGCATCATTATATACACCCCAGTAATTCATTTCTGCCATTGCATTTATAAATCCACTATCCATCTCTAAACTATGCCATGATGTATCTGCTGCACCATGTGAAACGATTGCAAATAAAAATGCTATTATTTTCTGAGTAATAAATAATGTGAATGAATATATTATAATGTGGATGTGAGTTATGTGGGTATTATGCGAATGAATAAATTAATTCTGATTACAAGTATACCTGAGCATTGACATCATTTTCCCAAGTTGAATTGTTATAATTTTCACGTATATATTCAGTGCTAGCTTTAACAAATGGTGGCCAATGTGCTTTTTTATTAATATTAAAAATTATTAAATTATTAATTATTAAATTTCTTGTAAAAAACAATTAATTAATAGCTAATAAATACCATCTTCGGCAGCTTCATCATTTCCTAAGCAATTATACCCCCTAGTGACAGTGATGATATATATTAATGAAAATATATATTTATAACGGATATAAACATATTGAAATAAACTTCTTACCAATCGGGAAAAACTGAGCCACACTTTATTTTTTAATATAATAATACTATTATTAATATTAACAATGATAAATCTTTCCAATGAAATAAAGAAAAGAGAATTTACCTGTACAATTTCTTTATATTTTTTAAGGAATTGGGAATATTTGATACGAGAAGCTATTGTTGGCTTAAAAGATTCAATTGCTCTCACAGTAACCTCATTATGGACACTTAATCCACAACAATTTACCGTTGTTATAAAAATTAATAAAGGTACCAAAATTTTTTTTAAATTCATTATTTTTTTGGTTTTAAAAAAATGTGGATTTTTTTTAGAAAAATTATATTAATTAATCTTTTCATAGTGTATATGATCTATAATAATATAAATAAATTTTATTTGTTTTTGTTAAATAACAATACTGCACTATCGAAAAATCAATTATCATAATAAGTATATATAAGTATTAGGTTTGCTTTCATATTAATTCATTTGTTTATTTTATTTATTAAAGATAATTATCTAATACTAACTGTTAATGCCATATTTTCCAAGATCAAATATTATTACTAATTATTCAAAAAGCCATCAAGTGACACAAGGAGGTTGTGTTTTTTGAATTTTGTCACGTGTACATATTTTGGCCAATAATATTTAAGAAAATTATTGTGATACAATTGGGCTAGGTAGGAGATATATCACTTGAAAGTAAGTATTTTTAAATAAAGAACATTATGGTTTAACAGATGGCAAATTTTGAAAATAATTTCCAACCCTTTATAACTGTTGATAGAAAGTTTACAATGAAAAAAAACGGAATTATTTTGACTTCTATAATTGTTTGGTGCAACTATTTTTTTGTTTTGAATTGATCGCCCCTAAGGAGTAGGTACTATTTTTGGTAAAACCAATAATAGTTGATGTCTTTTTGTACCAAAAAGGATTGGAACTGGTTTGAACAGTTTAAACGGTTTTTTGAACAACATCACACGAACACTGAAATTCCAAACATAAAATCCATTAATTATTTGTGTCACATTTTGAACATGTGTAACCGGTTCGAACGGTTCCCAAAAACCAAACCAAAAAAAACCATGGGTTGGTTTCAAAACCAAGTTCAAACCGTTTGTTAATGAAACCGCTCCATCCCTAGAGTAGGGGATTGTTGTATATTAAGTAACAATTGATTTCTGTGAACTTGAATAATTAAAAATAAAGGAAATTAAAAAAATGTTGATCATCAATTTTATTAGTGATGGTTACTGTTATTAATTACGTACAACAATTTTTATCTTACAGTAGCTAAACCCTTATTGATCTAATACTTAGTTAGCCAACCATTACTTTAATGCATGCTTGAATTCTTCGGGGATACTTTCTATTAAATTTATTAAACCATTTTCAGGAATGTTTTTCCATTCTTCGTGCAAAGCAATCTCGAGTTCATTTTATTTTTAAATTTATTATGTCTTTTATGAACTCTTGTTTTCAACACTTTCCATAGATGCTCGATTGGATTCAAATCAAGGGATTGACTTGGCCAATTTTTTAAAGTTTTTGTTTTGTTTTGTTTCTATCCATGTTTTGACAACTTTTGCTATATGGACAGGGCATTATCATCTTGAAACAAATACCCTCTTCCATTAAATTTATTATAAACATGCAATTCTAGTATTTCTATATATTTACGGCTATTCATTTTTCCATCCACTTTTATTAGTGTACCTAGCCCTTTTCCCGAATAACGCCCCCATACCATTATGCCTCTGCCACCATGTTTCACTACTGGCACAAGATTTCCAATATTGTATCTTGTTCCCAGGCATTCTCCGAACATAACCTTGACCATCATTTTGAAATAAGTATACCTTTCTCATCACTCCAAATGACGTTTTCCATTTTCTAATAGTCCAATCTTTCTTTATCAAGGCACCAGTTTAAACGATTAACTCTCTGTCGTTCATTAATAAAGGGTTTAGTTGCTGGAACACGAGCATGAATATTTAAATAATGTAGATTTCTTTTGATTGTTTTATAGAGACTTGTAAATCAGTCATTTATCTTTTATTTGTTTAGCTGATTACGATTATCTTTTTTAGTGATTTTTTTCAATTCTTCCTGACGAACACTATCTAAAATTTTAGGATGTTCACTCCTAGGTAACGTTTTGCATTACCTCTCTCTTCAAAATTCTGGATTGTCCTTATTACTGTAGTCCTAGGAAAGAATTTTACTGATTTTTACTTTTGATATGCCACTTTTATAAAGACCGATTATCTGACCACGTTCGTTTTCGGTTAAATCTGACATTTTATCAAAATTTTCAAAAAAAATTTATCTTGAGGATTAGAAGATCTTAGATTATCATATATAAAAATTTCAAAACATGTTATTTATATAGTTTTTAGAGAAATTGTCAAAACATTTCATCATCAGGATTTTTTCATATTTCTTTTATTTTTAATTGCTCGAGTTCTAAAAAATTTAGTAACATAAGACTCTATATACATAATCTCCGAAATCTAAGCTATAAATTTTCTATATACTCATTATGTACGTTTTTGCGTAATTAATATATTTAGGGTGTTCGATACTTTTGACCAGGTACTGTATATAGTTGAGTTGGGTCATTTCATCTAAAAATATAAATAACAATAAATATTAAAATTACGTGTATAATCAAGGAAAAAATGTATTTGGGGACGCCCTAGGAAAAATGGGTTTCGAGTAATATATAAAAAATTTTTAAATTTGTTACACATAAAATATACCTGAAAATTGTTTTACGATTTCCGTGTAATATTGATTAATAAAGCATTTATTCATTCATTCACCTTTAAAATTTAAATTTTATAGAAAGGTTAAATTATAATAAAAATTATGAATTAGTAACAATATGGAATCTCCGTGACTATTAAATTTATTAAATTATTAATAATTAAATATGAGTTTGTAGATCATTTTTAAATTAAATTTTGGTTGTCCCAAGAATTTATTTTTGTACTAAGTAAACAGCATCTAATTTTTTCACCAATTATAATCATGATGTTATAGTTTAATCTTATGTAAAAAATTTTTTTTTGATCAAAAGTCTCGAAACCCGGTTTTCCTAGAGCGTCCCTCATTTATTGCTCTTTACATCTGAAAGTAAATTCGATGCAATTGACATTTTCTGACTTTGGGAGGATTCTTTAATTGACGTTGTTAAGTGGATACCATTATTACCATAACAACAAGAATTGATTCGGTATTATCATCAATTTTGGTATGATTTTAATTTAATTCGTTTGTTCGCCATGATTGCTTCCTCGAGGATTCCAATTCGATACAGTTTATATTTTCTGATGCGGAAGTTGTTTAACCGACGTTAAACGACATATATCACTATTATCGTAACAACAACAAGAAATTGATTCGGTATCCTCAGTGGTAGTAGTAATTGTGGCACTAATTAGAGTGTTAAGATATGAATATTTGCTTCTTGGAGTGTTACAGATAACAATGACCTTTTACATGATTTTGTCCAATAAAGTATACATATAATATTATATTTACTATTGCTAAATGCCAAGGACGCGTCATCGATGACGCTCTTGTGCTATAAAAGAAATTTATTGACAATAATCGGAACCCAAGTCGGTTCCATCATTTGATAACGTTATCTCATATTTGCATGCAAAAAGTAATTGAAAAATACCCATCATTGATAAATTTTTTCAATACATCTGCTCTGATCTAAAAATATTTGCACTATAAAAATTAAGAGAGAATAATAAAATCAATAAAATGTAAAGGAAAAATAAAATATTAGCAATGTTGCAGTAGAAGAAAATCTTCAAAAAGGTATTTATCAAGAAAATCAGAATACATTATGAATTAAATAAGTTAGATGGTGATAAAATACATCATCAAATAATCTGGAAAATAAAGAAGGATTGTTAATAAATTATATTGATAATAATTTAGGTTCAACAATACTTATCTATAATTAAAATTTTGGGATATGAAATTCTGATTGATTTCACGTATGTGGTGAATTGCAAATTCACATGATTTCATTTTCACGTACAACATCTCCATAGAAAATTATTTGAAATTAATACTAACATTCCATTGCCAAGCATTGTGGCGATTTGGATCTAAAAGAATGGAGTTAAATCTTGGAGCCTTTGTTTAATAAATAAAAAAATAGTAGTAAAAATGGTTACATTGAAAAAATCTGGTGCTGTTTTTGGGCATCAGATTCAAAAATTACAGGTGTTGCTGAAGATGTCGAGGAAATGGTTTATTATATATATTCCTGGGATTACTATATATTAATATTGAATTTATTATTTACGCTTTATGATGACATTAAAAATTTTGAGCTGACTCTTGGCGACGATTTTTTTAATCAAAGAAAAGGAATTTGTACATAAGACAATAGCAACTTCTCACTTGTGGTAAATAACATTGATGCTGTCTTTTAAATGAACATCCATTCGAAATAAATCTCAATTTTTTTATATATTCATTCATACCCTTTATCTGTATTCTTCATAAACAACCTGTTGGCCATTTATTTATTTTTGTGTCATTGCACAAAAGAATCTAACATAAGAGCAGGAAACAAATCTGTTAGATTTGTTTATTTTATTTTTTATTAAAATTGTTTCAGCCCAAGGACAGACTATCAGAATACTGGTCCTTTAGGGCCGTTCAACATCCCTAGTCTTTGCTAATAGTTCAGGAAAGTATTTAATTAATTAAAAGTTAGCTTTGGCTTTTTTTTTTTTATAAAAGCTTGCTCTCGGATATGCTCCACGAATAAATCTCCATTCAAGCTGGTAAGCAAGCTAGTTAGTGACATACTGATCCCTAGTGCTAGCTTCATTTCCACCAAACCAGAAACTCCTTTACAATAGATATAATAAATGTTTCCAAGTTTGGAATCTTACGCATGAGAATTGATTATGTATTTCCAGTTCTGAGTTGTATAGGGCGAGACTGCTGATATTCAAGATTTACATACATAATAGTGACTATGAATATGAATTCAAGTTAAACATCATATAGAATAGTTACAATATTTGAATAAAGCATTCAAAATAAATAAATATCAATTAAATATTCATAATAACAATATTTCCAGTAAAAAAAGCACCTTCTACTCTTACCAGGAAATTGGTGGAATTGAACTCAACTTTTCCTTGAGTCCCTTGTGACACCAAATTTCATATTAAAAAGATTTTAAAAAAATATATAATTCTTCATTGGTACATTTTTAAAAAATTTGAGTGGTTTGCGCGGTCTAAAGATTCTTAATTCTATGTCGCTGCTTAATGATTCATAAAAATTTTTAAAGGTATTTATTCCCAAAAATGGATTTCACGTGATGTTGGTGTAATAAAATATAAACATTAACAATATTGTTCTCTATATATTAAATTCGTTGGATAGCTAAAATCAAAAATCGCCTTGCTAGGACCCCGGAAACTTCTAATTGAGGTCCCAAGCAAACCAAGGGTAAAAACATATTAACATAGAAAAGTGAAAAATGGCACCATTATTGATAGGGTATATAAAATTATTATGGATGCATTAAAAGGCCAAGAATTTTAAGAGTAAAAATCACTCGCCATTAAATTCAGTATTATGTTTTGGGTAAATAAATTAGTAAAAGTTTTAAAAAGTGCAGGTTATACGCAACACGTAAAAACTAAATTCCCTTTTTTTTTAAATGTAATAATAAAAAGAAAATTTTTTTGGTGTTCAATTGAGATTTGCTAGATTGACTATAAATTGTAGAAACTTGCCGAATTGTTTGGATTAGAAAAGTTAAAAATTACTAGTATAATAATAGGAAAAACATCAGTAAATAAATACTTATAAAGACGTTTTTTTTGCTTTTAATTGTTCCCCATACAAATCATATATTGTCTGAAAATTCTCAGTTCACTTTACCTTACCATGCTGAAATAATTTTAATAAATCTATTTCCCGAAAAGAATGGTGTCTCCAAAAACACAACTATGAGATCCTTTCAGTAGCCATATTGCTCCATAACGAGGCAAGCAATGGAAATAAAAATTGCGTTTGAAAGAGCTAAAGTTAATTTTTAAAAGTCCGTTGTATGCAATGTAGATCACACAGTATTATTACTATTATTATAAAATTAGGACCAGGAAAACTTTATATATATAATTCGAAGAAAAAGTGCCATCTGTTACACAGATTCGCATATAAGAGGGACAGGTCACTTAATTACTTGGTCATTATGATTCCATTTTTGTTGACATGTTAAATCAAGCCAAAATTGCACAGGTTTACAAATATATTTTTTTTTAAAATAGAATGGACGAATTGGAAGAATTAATTTGAAATTTTTTTTTGCAACAATAATAAAAATCAACAACAACAACAAACAACGATAATTTTTTTTTGTGGTCACATAATTAAATCATCAACTAAAGAAATACAAAGTTGTGTCATACTATTATATAATAATAAAGCATAAACAATCCGTTTATAAAACACACTTTATTATTAAAAGTCACGTGCTCGCGAAACATTTTGATTGAAAAAATTTTCTCAAATTGGCTGTGGCGGTGACCAAGTTGACTTGCTAATTTAAGGGTAGTGAACTAAAAAAGGAAAAAATTTAAATTAATTATTTACATGTCCATTATATGATTTGTTACCGTTCACATACTATGATGCAAGTCACCTAGCCCCATAACTTTCTGCACCACACCGCTAAATTTGTGAAAAAATTTTCCAATCTAAAAATTGTTTGGTAATGTGATATTCCTAGTCATTTCATAAATAGTAATAATAAATATTAGTTAAAGCAAAATATTGATATTAACAATAGAAATGAAATGAAATGAAATATATTCTTGGTGCTAGGCGAAAGATAGCAGGTATATATGATTTGCACATTTCTTTGATCAACACAATAGTCTATTTATTAAATTTGAAATAAATGAACTTGGGATGTTTGTGACATTTTTCTCGGCTTCGGAAGTTGTCGAACTTGTGTTTTTTATATAATAATAAAAAATAAATTATCTTGCATATGGCAATTACGTTCGTTTCAAAATTTGATTTGATATTAACTTTTCTGTGTAACGCGCTAATTTTAGAGTTGAATATGAACATAATAATAATAATAATAGTAATAATAAATCCGGTAAATTAGTAAATTGGTGCAACTTTGAGTCTAAATCGTAACTTTTGTTAGACACCAATAAAAAGTTGTGGCATTAAGTGTGGGCTAGACAAATCTAGAAATAAAATTTGTTTGCCACTATATATTTACATAGAATTAAAGAACCAAAAAAATGCAAGAGAATTTAACACTTCCCAATTTTAGTTTTTTTCGTATGGCTCTATCCAAATTAAGAAAGAATTTCGTGTATTTTCTTTCAAACATTGTTTATCTAATTATTTAGTTAATTTTTTCAAAGAGATGTATCAAACAAAGGGATATTAAAGTTTCATTCTTTGTGTGTGTTACTACACGACAAAACAAACAAATAAATTATGTACATACTGCAATATGTCACATGTGGACAAATGTCACACCAGAGTTTATAATTAGATCTCTTTAGAAAAAAATTGTTCTTTAAATATGTTTTCAAAAATCAAAATATAATTTTTTATTGGTATTGTTAAAAACATCGATTCTTATATCAATTTGATCGTAATCGAAAAAATTTATTTTTACTTATTAAAATAATTAAATTTGCCTTTATAAAATCATATACGATCTTCCTCAATTGGCTGTGACTCATTCATCATAACTAACTTTTTCCTCAAATGTAAGTTTTAATGCATTCTCACTCAAAAATTGGTGTTAAAACTAGTCAATGGGATGATTATTTAAAAAGAGTAACTTTTGATTGGTTTAGTTGAATCAACTGTAATCCGTGACCCCAACACCTAATGATTTAAATCATATTCCCATTTTACCAGATGGCATATGGAAGAGTTCGGCATCTTTTTCTTCAAAAAAAAAAACTTCACTCTGGAAGACCTTTAAATCAGACTTTAACTTAATTCGGTGGGATTGATGCTGCTCGCTGGACATATAACAAATGTTTTGGAGCAGTTTATTTACGTGATAATTATATCAATAGAGAAGTATTTAAAGACTTGATCTTAAATGGATTCTTGATAGCCCTTATGGTATCGACCTAATTGATAATTAAAATTCAAATATTACTGCAGAAAGAAAATTTTAAATTAAATTTTAGATCAACAGAGAAGATAGACATTTATTCATTCCTTGAAGGTGAGAATTAAAATATGACTAGTCCGTTTCACAATGAGTCGTTTTACTTATGTACCATTTGAAATTAAGCCAAGGTTCTAATAGTGACCAAGCGGTGAGGGCATAAGTAGATTATATCGCTTATGCTTACATTATGATAGAATTCGAATTGAAATGGATTCTATTATGGTAAAGCGAGTAAGCGTAAAAAAGGTATAAGCTCTGTCTATGCGTGCACCAGATCCACAAAAAAATTTTGTATATGGATGTCAAATTAGCAAAATGGTTATGTGACAGCCATCATGCAGTTTCGTTACTTGATCAAAAATGATCTAAACTTCAAGCAAGAGAAATGTTGACCTGGTCCCAAATCCCGTGGACATCCTTGATGTAAAGTAGTCATCTGTACTGATGAACAATAAACTGGTGGATGCTGTGGACGCATAAAACAAAATCTTGGTATTTGCGATTTCATCATTAGGCAGTGCCTGCCCGTAACATACTTTTTAAAAATATATTATGGAATCACTTGCAATACCTTAATGTAGCCTATCTACGTGTAACTTGTACTTGAATACAGTAGTAATAGGTTCAATGGAAAAGTTTTTCCATTTTAAAGTTTTAAAGTTTGTGTAATAAAGATTTGTTATACAAAATTTCATAAAAATCACACCTGCCGCTTATTTGTACGAATGGATTGAAAAATTATAGATTTACAAAATCAATATTTGTATGTATTCCATTTATAGATTTTTATATGGATGAATATACGTATAAATAAACAAATTTAACATGAACGGTAACTTTTTGCAAAATATTTTTTTAATTTTAAAAAAAAATCAAAGATCAAAAAATATTTCATTTATCGTAAAGATTATTTCTAAAACGTAAATAGGCCTACTGCACATCCACTTTCTATTACTTTCTATTAGTCATTTCGTTCATAAATGTCACAAGTCTTACCGCCAGGGTGGATAGAAGAGGTGTGTATTATAATTCATTAAAATTAAAATTATTTCATCACCTTGTTGAAAAGTTTACTCAAGATTTTCGCAAAAAATTTTGTTTTTAATTAATATTAGGTTGACGCAAATAACAATACATATTGTAAGTATTATTATTATTATTATTATTATTATTATTATTATTATTATTATTATTATTATTATTATTATTATTATGTTAATTCGAAAAAAAAAAATTAAAAAAATTATTATTTTTTTTTAGATTTTAATCCTGAAAAAAACATATCATCGATGGTAAATAATAATCTTACTTTTCTTTAGATATTTTTTTATCTTAAAGGAAACAAATTTAATAAATAATATTTTAATTGATATAGAGCTTTCCGACCAATAAACAACAACAACAACCACAACAACAACAATGGCAAGAACCTCCTCCCCCATACCATCAACAACAACAACAACAAAATTTTAACCATTATCAGAATCAGCAGCAGTACCAGAATCAGAATCAACAGCAGTATCAAAATCAGCATCAACAGTATTCACAGCAGCAGTATCCACAGCAGCAGTATCCACAACAGCAGTATTCACAACAGCAGCAGCAACAACCACATTACTCCTTTAATCCCAGTACTTCCGTAATAGTAAATCAAATACAACCACAACAACCACAACTGCCACAACCACAACCGCCACAACAACATTATTCTTATAATACTACTTATAACAATGTAGTGAATCCCATACCACCGCCAAAACAACAACAAATTTCAACTTATAATGTAGGCTCTAATGCAGTCGTCCCTCATTCAACACAAACTAATAATCAAAATTATAATAATACAACTCAAACTACTACTTATCAACAACAACACCAACAGGTAATTTTTTTTTTAAAAAAAAATAATTGATCGAATAGTCAATATAATATGATTGACTGATTGATTGATTGATTGGTAATATTTATTTATTAGATTATTGTAACTAAAGAGCCCGCACCAATTGTAAAAGCAGCAGCAGTTGGTGTAAAAGCGACAGCTATTGGTGAGTTTAACTTATTATCATATTTGTTTTTTATCGTTATAATTAAAACGCTAATGTAATAATTTTGGCTTATTTATCGAAAATAGTTTGTAATTCGATGGCTCGGGGTCTTGCAAGCGCGTTTACTCCAACTACTAGGACCACCATTATTACAAATAATACTGTACAAACAGTGCAACAACCACAACAACAACCACAACAACCACGACCACGACCACAACAAATACAACAACCTCTACCACCACTGCCACAACAACAACCACAACAACAACCACCGCTACAACGACCACTACCACCACAACAACAACCACTACAACGACCACCACCACCACTACAACAACCACAACAACCACGACCACGACCACAACAACCAACACAAAATCTAAAAAAAGTCTTGCCACCACAATATAAAAAGAAAGTACAACGACCATCGCAAACAGTAGTTCCAACATATAACGTTAATAATAATACTCTACATCAAAGAAATCCATCATCAGAAAATACACAACGACCTAAAAAGAATCAACGACCACCCCCCGTTGAACCTCAACTAAAGAAATCAATAAAACAAAAAACACCCAAAGTACAAAAACTTCCTGAACCTCAACAGCCGCAAAAACAAAAGTCCATAAAAAAAAAATTACTTAAAGTACAAGAATCTCTTGAATTTCATGAGCCACAGAAACAAAAATCCACAAAACAAAAACTACAAAAGTTACTAGAACCTCAACCAAAGAAACAACCACAAAAACAAAAATTCATACAACCATATAGAGTACAACAATCTCAGAGACCTCCGCAGCCACAAAAACAAAAATCCATAAAACAAAAACTATCTAAAGTACAAGAACCTCAACCAAAGAAACAACCACAACCACAAAGACAAAAATCACAACCACAACCACAACCACAACCACAACCACAAATTATAAATAATAATGTTCTGCAACCAGCATCGAATAATAATAGTTCAAGAAAAGTCCAAACAAAAAATCGGAAACAAACACAGCAACAACGAACTCGAACAAAAGAAGTCCCACGAAAGCGAGTACCAAGGCGAACACGTCGGCCACAACCAAACAGACAAGCAGACGAGCAAGATCCAAATCAAGATGATGATGCATCTGCACAAAATTGTGAGGATGACCAAAATGATAATGCTGAGGATGCTGAAAATGGTGAAGATGATGAATTCTTGGCAGAAAATCTAGATGATAAAGATGCTGAAGATGATGACGATAATGAAGATGAAGACGTTGAAGATGATGATGATAACGAAGACGAAGCAGACCAAGATGAAGAAGAACAAGAAGATGAAGATGAAACAAATGAGGCAGACGAAGATGAAGAAGTGGGCGAAGATGAAGAAGTGGACGAAGATGAAGAAGTGGACGAAGATGAAGAAGTGGACGAAGATGAAGATGAAACAAATGAGGTAGACGAAGAAGACGATGATGTAGATGACAATGTAGATGATGAAGATGATTTAGATGGTAATGATGACGAGGATGATGTAGATGACAATGAATATGAAGAAGAAGATGTAGATGACAATGAATATGAAGAAGATGATGTAGATGACAATGTAGATGATGAAAATGATGATTATGATTGTGATGATTATGATGATAATGATTACGAAGATTATGATGATGGTGGTGGTGATAATTATGATGATGGTTGTGATAATAATTATGATGATTGTGATGATAATGTCAATGATTATGATGATTGTGATTATGGCGGCGGTGGCGATAATTATGATGGTTATAATGATGCCAAGAATGATGATGGTGGTGGCAATGATTATGGTGGTGATGATAATAATTATGACGATTATAGCAATGATAACAATGGTTACGACGACGGTGGCAATAATTACAATGATGGTGGCAATGACTACAATGGTTACGACGACGGTGGCAATAATTACAATGATGGTGGCAATGACTACAATGGTTACGACGACGGTGGAAATAATTACGATGGTTATGATGGCGGTGACAATAATTACAATGACGGTGACAACAATTACAATGGTTACGACGACAATAACTACAATGGTTATGACGACAATAATTACAATGGTTACGATGATGGCAATAACTACAATGGTTACGACGATGGCAATAATTATAATGGTTATGATGACGGTGGTGCTTTCGGTGGAGATAATGGTAATTTCGACAATGGAAATTTCGACAATGGATTTGATGGAAATTTTGATGGTGGTAACAACGGAGATTTTGACATTGTAAGTATATTAGATTAATTAATAGATCGATCATCAATTTATATTTACTCTTAATTTAATTTAAAAATTAATAGGGTTCTGGAGGTGACGCTTTTGACATGACTTCATTAAATGATTCTCTTGATACTGGAGGTGGATTTGATCTTGGTGGTGGTGGTGGTGGATTTGATCTTGGTGGTGGTGGTGGATTTGATCTTGGTGGTGGTGATGGTGGATTTGATCTTGGTGGTGATGGTGGATTTGATCTTGGTGGTGGAGGTGGATTTGATCTTGGTGGTGGAGATGGATTCGATTTCGGTGGTGGAGGTGGATTCGATTTCGGTGGTGATGGTGGATTCGATTTTGGTGGAGGTGGATTCGATTTTGGTGGTGATGGGTTCGATTTCGGTGGAGATTTTGGTTTTGATTTTTAATCTTTTACCTTATCAAACTATGCACAATTTTTTTTTTGACAAATAATATTTTATTGATTATTATTTTTATTAATTACTTTCATAAATATTTATATATGTATTATTGTTATTTTATATTATTAATATAAATTGTTGGATAGTATTATTAAAAAATTTGATTTTAAATACTGATAAAACAATACTTGAATTTAACAACTCTTCGAGCCACCTTCCCCACTTTCTATCTCTCAATTCAGCACCGATAAAACCAAGTATTCTTGTTCCTAATATATAGTTCACCACAATTATTTATTATTAATATCTGTATTTGTTGTTACATTCCGTATATTTATTATTATTTATTTGGAAAGGCATTAATGGTAATAATCCCAAATGGAATAATTCGCCCAGATGGAATATTAATTAATTAAACATGTATATAAGGAACAAGAATTCGTTGTACTTTAAAAATGACTTTGTAATAAGTTAACTTCATAGTGTGTTTTCGTGTAATTGATACACTTGGGTTCTCCGAAACTTTGCTGCATTGTATCATTTTTGATTTAATAAAATCTATTTGAATCTACTAAAGCAAATAAACAAAGGATAAATTTATTATTTATCAAAAAAAGAAATAAAGTAACTTTAAAGTATATAAATATTATTGATTTTGGGCTGAGATTGATGTATCAAAAAAAAATTTTTTGCAACATTAAAAATCTTTATATACATTTAACAAGATAAAGAAGATAATAAGACAATTACGTTGGGTACGTCAAAAATCAATTACTTAGATCCATGCATCTCCATTGCATGGTGTAAAAAATATGACATACCAATTGCTAAGATTTTTAACAAAAGTCTTCATGAAAAATTCTGGTGGGCATTGGATGTCGATGCAGATTGGGTGAGTATTTTTTTTTAGCTAATTTTATTAAATAATAATATACTTAAAATTATTCTTATTATTTTATAGGAATTTTAACCATCGTGCAATAATTTTTCATTTGACCATTGCTTTCACTATTTAAAGATTGCTAATTTGTACATTGTTTGGTATTAAATCTCTGCCCAGCAGAAGGTTATATTTTTTGTGATGATAAGAAATTTTTTTATTTTCATGAATAATTTAGATTCAGTTTTTATTATCATCATCATTAGCTATATTATTATTATTATTAATTAGATTATGAAAACTACAATTTATATACACTGGCCTACAATAATTTACCGGATTTTGTCACATGATTCTGCGCGCCAATTTCACAATCGCGGATTTCTCCTTATTTTACATATAAATAAAGAAAATAACAAAACGAATTAATTTTATTACTTTTCTAGTTTAAAATGCGTAGAAAGGAGCTGTCAGTTGTTCAACGTGAGCGAATTATTGGTGCATATATTAATGGCGTTAAACAAAAAGTTATTTTTGCTCAGCTTGATATTCCTACCAGTACAATAAATGATACTATCAAACGGTATAAAGAAACAGGTTCTGCAACACCTGAAAAACGTCCCGGTTATCCAAAACTGCTCACTCAACGTGATACACGCGTTTTACAACGTATCGTCCATGATAACCTATTTTCCCCTCTTGGTGATATAACAAATAAATTTAATTCTCATCTTAACACAACTTTGCATTATAATACAGTTAGAAACTATCTTCATGACGAGGGTCTAGGTAATTATGCTACAAAAAAAAACCTCTTTTAACAGAGAAACAGCGAAAAGGTCGACTAAGATGGAGCGGAGAAAAACAAAACTGGGAAGAAGAATGGAAAAATGTGGTATGATCAGATGAGTCAAAGTTTGCTCTTTTTGAATCAGATGGCCGAGTAAGAGTATAGAGAAAACCAAGGGAAGCTTATAAAGAGGATTGTATTCAACCTACAGTTAAATTTGGTGGAGGATCTGTGATGTTTTGGGGGTGTTTTGGTTGGCATGGTGTCGGGCCTTTAATTGTGGTGGAGGGAAATATGGATTCAAATGATTATATTAACATCCTTGCTGGACACTTTATACCATGGGTCAATAATTACCCTAATTCTATTTTTCAGCAAGACAAAGCTCCATGTCATACATTAAATTATAGTGTTTGGTGATGAAAACACATGACATTCCGATTTTAGATTGGGTGGCGCAAAGTCCAGATCTTAACCCGATCGAGAACTTGTGGAACTATCTGAATCATCAAGTACAGAAAAACCTCTGCCTAAATCTAAACAGGAATTAATAAACGTACAGTGCAGATCATCTATAATCATTAATTGCTTATAGTAACAATTGGTCAACTTCAAAATACTAAAACAAAAAAAA